CACATACATCATTTTCAAGTTTTTGTCATCTACAATTCCTACAAACTTGCAATTAAGGTGCAGCAAATGTGAAGTTGTAACTGGCGCACGATGTTTGGCTGAAAAGGAGTGACGAACTAACAGTGAAAAAGGTAAACAAGACATCTATGGAAGATTAGCTAGCTGTGCGCCTTACATGGACGGAAATACGTAATTGAAGAAGCGAAAAATAGTACAGTCCCCACAATTCAATGAATTACACACAGGTATTTGTAGGTTAAATGTATCAAATTAAACTCACTTTTGAAATCCAATTAATGAGATAGTTTTACATAACTTTCTTTGTCTCTGTTAAATTTTTTTAAGGAATTTAAATGAACACTAAAGAAAAATTTTAAGGTGTTAATTGATGTTGATGCCTATTGTATCCGGTATAATCTTTAAGTGAATGAGAAAGCCTTTGAAGGGGTGGGGGAAAAGGGATTAGACTATAAACAATTGTGTGTGGATTTATCCTAAGAGAGTACATCCATTAATTACACTGGATTCAATTCTAGGTCATCAACCAACTATAGGTATACTAACAACCAAATAGGAATAAATAATCAACACTTAAAAGGTGTCATCAACCAACTATAGGTATACTAACAACCAATGCAATCTAGCCAAATAATTTGCACGAGGAAACACTTTCTATACGATCGGATGCAGTTGTCTCCGCAATCGAATTGTTTCTGGAAACTCTAGCATATACAAATGATAACAACTTTGGGGGATCAATGAGGACTTACTATCGAGTCCGTGTGGCTATAGATGTTACCAAACCCTTAAAGAAACAGATGAAACTAAGAAAGGACAATGGATCATGGGCCATAGTTGATTTCAGGTACGAAAGGCTACCAACTTTCTGTTTCATCTGCGGGATCATCGGGCATAGTGATCGAGTTTGCCCTAAAATTGCAAATGGGGTAAACACCAAGGCTGAAAAACCCTATGGGCCGTGGCTTCGCGCAGGGTCACGTAGGAATACCCCGATAGCAGGGCAACGTTGGGTAGTGATAAACATTATTTATGTTATTATTTTTAATAAACTTTGTTAGAATTAATAAGATAATATTTAGTTAATCTTTAATTTTTCTTATATTTTATTAATAAATTTTGGTTGAGTTAAAGTTTGTGTTTTATTAGTATTATTATTATTATTATTATTATTATTATTATTATTATTATTATTATTATTATTATTATTATTAGTTTAGTGAATTAAATAGGTTAATCCCATTTTCCTTGTTCGTTCTTCCCATAAATAGTAGTAGACGGGCGAGAGACCAGAAAGAGCAACGTCCGATTCGTTTGGCATCAGTCCGTCTCGACAGCCGATTCGTTGGGCGATCCGATTAAACAGCAAGCGTTGGAAGAATGGTCTTCAATGGTGATTTGTGGCTCGCGTTCTCCTGCGGAATTGAACCAAGGGATTCAGAGCAATTTATGGTAGAATTGCGGAAGAATTTTGGTGAGGAGGTAGTATAAAAGAGGACGATTCTGAAAGAGGAAGGCATCAATTTTGCCCCGGACCAATTCCGGTGGTGGCGTTTGAGAATTCCGATCGGCGGCAGATTTCTGGGCAGCTTCAATTCAATTTCCAGATTAGCAAGTTTCTTAGTTTCACTTTCTGGACGACAATAGCAAGTTCAACTGTTTCTGTTCGGCGATTCTTCCTCCTTCGCACTACTCTGTGGTTAGAATTCAATTTTTAGGCTTCGGCGATTCTTCTTAGACAGCAACATTAATCTGGTTCCTTCTCTTTTGTCCTTAAATTGTGTTCCAATCTGTTTCTTGTAATCATAATTAGTAATCACCTTTTCAACTTAAACTTTCTTTAATTATTAATTGGCAATTTCTTAATTTCAATTTTATGAGTATGTACTGTGTTGTGTTGCTACGTGGATGATGCATACTTACCATGATAATGCTTAATTCCCATGCCCAATGCTTAATGATGTTGCTGATTGCAATTAGTAATTAAAACTTTGATGTCATCTGCCACTTATTGTTAATCATAATGAATTGCTAATTGATTTATGTTTCTAGCCTTCATTCCATTGATGTTCATTTCGGGGTTAATTATTTATCTTTTTTATTTTGTTTTCTACGACGTTTTATTATCTTACTTCTCTTGTTTAATTAATTTTGATTGTAATTTGGTTCACGTACCTTACATTATTAAGTCAATTACTCTTTTTAAGTTTAGTTATTAAATTGTATCGTATCAATTCCCTGTGGGTTCGACCCTTGCTTTGCACGCTTAAACTACAATTGACTCGTGCACTTGCGAGGACATTATAACTAAATTGTCCATCAATTTTTGGCGCCGTTGCCGGGGAATTGTTTATTTTGCAATTTAATTTTCTGCTTTTTTCGTTGATTGCTTGATATTTTTTTTTTCTATCCCGTCATTATTGTCTTCTCTTTCATTTTTAATCTTGCATTTTATTTTATTAATTCGTTCATTTAAAAGTGCTTTATACTTGTTTTTACTTTCACTATTCTCTTTATTTTTCCCATTGCTTGATTCTTTAATTCTATCACTTTATTATTATTGTCGTTTGATTATCCTTTTTAATATTGCTATTTATTCAAGTCATTAGTCCAGTTAAAAACTGCTTACTATTTCTTTTTGGTTTTCCTATTCTCATTGTTTATTTTTTTCCCTATCTTAATTTCTTTTCCCATACTTTTGTTTGCTATTTTTTTTTTCTCTCTTCCAATTTAATTCTTTCGCTTCCTAAATTCCAAATAATTTGCATTTGAATTGATCCGACTCAAGTTTTTTTTTTCCCCTCTTAATATTACCTTCAAAACAAAAGAAGTACTTAATAATTGTTTAACATTCTCCATTTCACTTTTTATTGATTATCCTATATATTTATTTGTTTACTTGTTTGATTTTATTTACTTCTTTGTTTATTTATTTTTGTTATTTTGTTTATTTATTTGATGGAGGGTCGTCGTTCTTTATATCCTAAACTGTTGCCTTTGGACAATCATATTGATAGAAAAAAGAAAGAAATATTACTTTTTGAAAACCTATTACTTTTTGAAAATCCAATTTTTGAACCGCAAGAAATATTACTTTTTGAAAATCCAATTTTTGAACCGCAAGAAATATTACTTTTTGAAAATCCAATTTTTGAACCGCAAGAAACAACTACAACCATAAATGCACTTCCTCCACCCTATAGGGATAATAATAATCAAAATGATTTTCAACCAATTGACCCACCCCAACCTGAAAAACCATCTTTGGAGGATACTTTACAGGAGTTCATGCAGGGTTACAATATCCAAGAAAATGAGGCTTGCTTTAAAAGAATCGAAGCACATTTAGAGAAAATTGCTAAATTTGTGCAAGAGCATGTGCCAGGTAAGTTACCTAGTCAACCTGAAAAGACTAAGACTGGTGATATCAATGAAAACAAGTCAGAAGATAATATCATTTCTAAACAAACTAAAATAATTGAAAAATTGCATAATGTTGTTGATGATATTATTGTAGAAAATGATGAGCCTCAATTGCATAAATCTGATAATCCTTATGTGCCCCCCAAGCTTTATGTGCCCCCAATCCTTGTTGATGAAAGCTTTGAAACCACCCCTATACAAAATGAAGATTTTGAGGGAGAAGAGCCTTATGTACCACCCAAGCCTTATATGCCCCCGACTCTATTTCCAAATAGGCTCAAAAGTTGTGTGCCTGTAAGTGCAGTGCTACGACAAGAATTGCCCACAATCCCTTTTGATGTTCAAAACGATAAATTGACCAAAAATGTGCTTGATGAAACTATTCAGTTTCAAATTTTTATGTCTATGAATTTGTTTGATAGAGCTAACCAGTGTTTTGCAGTTAAGGGGTTGAATTTTGCAGAGGATGGTAAGTTGGGTTTCGATAAACTCCATAAAGAAAATCTTTTGAATGGCGTTGATAAATCAGTTTCTTCTCGTTATTCTAAAATTGCAGGGCTAAATGAAAATTTTACTAAAGAAAATCTAATAAAGGAGGACTCTCTTTGTCTTCTTTTCTTTCCTCTCACAACATTGTGGGCAATGTTAAAAATAAGTGTGGGGAAGGGGTTCTACTCACAAATCACAAAAAATTAAAAAATTTCAAAATTTTTAATTTTCTTCTACCCACAAATCACAGAAAACTAAAGAATTTCAAAATTTTTAATTTTCTTATGTTCATTTTCTTAAACCTTTTTATTTTAAAATTCTAGCATTAGTTGAACTTTACCCTTATGAGTCTTTTAAATATTCGTTGATAGAAATAATGCAGGTTTTTGTCAATTCTGAGTGTGTTTATGGCATGTGGCTAGTTGTTAATTTCTTTATATTTTGAATAATTTTGTAAGTCAAAAAAAAAATAAAAAAAAATTAATAATTTATATTCTCAATACCCTGATGTGTTTTATGCATTTTCTTTGATGATTTATATGTTAGTTTCACCTTATATTACCTTTATCAAATTCTTAAACAATTTTTGAGTGCTATAAATTGTGGTGTAGCGTGTTGGTTCAAGGATCATCTTTATGGCATAAGTGAGGTAAAAAAAAAAGATTTAAAAAATAAATGAGAGTATTTTATTTATTTTATTTGCAATAAATTCAGAGATTCTACTCCGCTGAATCAGTCACCTATACACATGTACCATAATTAAATAAGTGTCGTGGTCCGGTTTATGAGTACACACAAAATTGAAAACCCAAACAAGTCTGGCGTAAAATGGCGAGGTTTTTGGGGAAGTTCTCTTTGAAAAAAATCAAAATAGAAAAATAGTGAGTGAACTTTGAAAGAGACGAACATTTGCATTTTAATTTTAATAAATGCCTCGATCCTTGTTTCCTTCATGTTTTGCACCTGCACTGTAATAGAATATTTCTGAATTTGGCTTAGGTTACATTTGGTGAAATTTTCATATTTATTTTATTGAGATTTTGTATAGTTCATATAAGGGGTGTCAGCACACGAGCACACGTTTTATATTTATTTTAGTTGTTAAAGTTTTTAATTTCTAGTCAAATGTTTTATACATTCTTTGAGTTGGCACTAACCTTGCATTGAGATAAATAAATTTGAAAGCATATTTGGGTAAAGCTCAATTTAAAGTTGGTTTTATTTTTGATTTTTTTTTCCTGTTAATAACGTCTTTGCTTGAGGACAAGCAAATAAATAAGTGTGGGGAAATTTGATAAACATTATTTATGTTATTATTTTTAATAAACTTTGTTAGAATTAATAAGATAATATTTAGTTAATCTTTAATTTTTCTTATATTTTATTAATAAAATTTGGTTGAGTTAAAGTTTGTGTTTGGGAGAGGTAGATGTTGAGACAGACTCACAGTTATGTTATTATGCTTTGTACTCGGACTCTTTTTATTCTGCTTTTGGTTTTATAGTGGATGATGTAAAACAAGTTGCCTCATTGATTAACGGGGTTAACTTCAGTTGTGTTAGGCGATCTGCGAATCGTGCAGCTCATGCTATAGCACGGGAGGCCGTTTCTGTGTCAGGTCCTGGGGAGTGGTTGGATTTACCACCCCATTATCTTGTTCCTATTCTTGTCAATGATCGAATGAATTAAGTTTTCTATTTCAAAAAAAAATTATTATTATTATATTAGTTTAGTGAATTAAATAGGTTAATCCCATTTTCCTTGTTCGTTCTTCCCATAAATAGTAGTAGACGGGCGAGAGACCAGAAAGAGCAACGTCCGATTTGTTTGGCATCAGTCCGTCTCGACAGCCGATTCGTTGGGCGATCCGATTAAACAGCAAGCGTTGGAAGAATGGTCTTCAATGGTGATTTGTGGCTCGCGTTCTCCTGCGGAATTGAACCAAGGGATTCAGAGCAATTTATGGTAGAATTGCGGAAGAATTTTGGTGAGGAGGTAGTATAAAAGAGGACGATTCTGAAAGAGGAAGGCATCAATTTTGCCCCGGACCAATTCCGGTGGTGGCGTTTGAGAATTCCGATCGGCGGCAGATTTCTGGGCAGCTTCAACTCAATTTCCAGATTAGCAAGTTTCTTAGTTTCACTTTCTGGACGACAATAGCAAGTTCAACTGTTTCTGTTCGGCGATTCTTCCTCCTTCGCACTACTCTGTGGTTAGAATTCAATTTTTAGGCTTCGGCGATTCTTCTTAGACAGCAACATTAATCTGGTTCCTTCTCTTTTGTCCTTAAATTGTGTTCCAATCTGTTTCTTGTAATCATAATTAGTAATCACCTTTTCAACTTAAACTTTCTTTAATTATTAATTGGCAATTTCTTAATTTCAATTTTATGAGTATGTACTGTGTTGTGTTGCTACGTGGATGATGCATACTTACCATGATAATGCTTAATTCCCATGCCCAATGCTTAATGATGTTGCTGATTGCAATTAGTAATTAAAACTTTGATGTCATCTGCCACTTATTGTTAATCATAATGAATTGCTAATTGATTTATGTTTCTAGCCTTCATTCCATTGATGTTCATTTCGGGGTTAATTATTTATCTTTTTTATTTTGTTTTCTACGACGTTTTATTATCTTACTTCTCTTGTTTAATTAATTTTGATTGTAATTTGGTTCACGTACCTTACATTATTAAGTCAATTACTCTTTTTAAGTTTAGTTATTAAATTGTATCGTATCAATTCCCTGTGGGTTCGACCCTTGCTTTGCACGCTTAAACTACAATTGACTCGTGCACTTGCGAGGACATTATAACTAAATTGTCCATCAGGTAGCACCTGAATTGGATGCTGAGCGTAAGGAATGGAAAACGCCTGACATGTTTGCGAATGATATTCTGGCAAACAATGAGGAAGGACCTATGTATGTGGCGTCTGATTTGAAGAGGAAGAGAGTTGATGGGGGCAGTACGTCTAGGGAGGCTGCTCAGAGTGATATGGAGACTGAAGATGGGGTTCCAAAAAACGGCCAGAAAGCGAGTCTTGCTTCGCAAGCCCGCCAAGAAATATGAGTCTATTGGCATGGAATTGTCGGGGGCTTGGCAACCCTACGGCGATTCGAGTTCTTGCGGACTTAGTTCGCGCTAAGCGGCCAAGAGTGGTTTTCTTAATGGAAACCTTCGTTAACAAACACAGAATAGAGATGGTGCGAGTACAGTTGGGTTTTGGCAATGTTTTTACAGTTGATGCAGTTGGGCATAGTGGGGGCCTTGCAATGTTGTGGACTAGCATAGTGAACCTCCAAATTACTTCTTATAGCAGCAATTACATAGATACAACGTTGAGTATAAGTGAGGGCAGCCCGGTTTGGCGCTACACGGGATAATATGGTTACCCCGAGAGATCACAGAGAAGGGAAGCTTGGCAATTGCTCCGTCATCTTGCGAGTCAAAGTCCTATGCTATGGGTAATTATGGGCGACTTCAACGATCTTATGTATCATAAGAGAAACGTGGGCGTGCCCCTCATCCACCGTGATTGCTAAATGGTTTCTGTGATGCGGTTGCTGACAGTGGACTGCAAAATTTCCCTTTTAGTGGCAATCAATTCACCTGGGAACGGTTACAGAGAACAAGCAACATGATAGAGGAAAAGCTGGATAGGATTCTAGTCTCGGATAATTGGCTCACTATGTTTGACAGGGCAACAACGTCTTTGGTTGTCCCGTATAGTGACCATTGGCCCTTGATGCTAACACCGGTGGCTACGGTAAGTGGCTATCGACGGAAGCGTTTCCTTGGTGATAATATGTGGTTAAGAGAGGATAAGTGCCGCGAGATAGTAGCCCACAGTTGGGAACGCACGATGGGTTTGGATGTCCTTATGCGTATTGAATATTGTAGCTAGGACATCTGGTGTTGGGGGAAGACCTATAACAAAGATTTCCAACGTCGGATTGAAAATTGTAAACGGAGGATGGAACTTCTTCGCCTACGCCGTGATGAGGACAATATGGTGGATTATGCTAATACTGAAAGAGAGCTCCTTCACTTACTACAGCAGCAACACCTCTTTTGGAAGCAAAGGACGAAGGAACATTGGTACAAATGCGGCGACCTAAACAGTAAGTTCTTCCACAATTTTGTAAAATCACGGAAAATAAGGAATAAAATTAAAAGGCTAAAAGATGAGGATGGGAACTGGTCCGAGAGGGAGGAAGAAATTGGGCATATTATGCAGAGCTATTTTGAAAATTTGTTTGAGTCGGATCAAAGGGATATGGCCGAGATAATTGATGCCATTTTGCCAAGAATCAGTGCACGGGATAATCTACTGCTGCTACGACCAGTGAACATGGAGGAAGTGAAGAAAGCCATTTTCCAGATGCATCCGGATAAGTCTCTAGGACCAGATGAGCTAGGTCTAGGTTTTTTTCAATATTGTTGGGGAAGCAGTTACTTCTTTTTGCAGGAATTTCCTTCAAACAACTTCCCTCCCAACAAAGGCTAATGAAACTTTTATTGTCTTGGTCCCAAAGAAAACAACCCCAGAAAGTATGAAGGACTTACGGCCGATAGCGCTATGTAACGTGGTTTACAAGATTGCAGGAAAGGTTTGTGCAAACAGGCTAAAATCATTATAGGAGGGAATAATCTCGCATGCCCAGAGTGTGTTTGTTTTGGGGTGTCTCATTACGGACAACATAATGCTAGCTTATGAGGCCCATCATTACCTACGCCGGAAAACCCAAGGGAAAGAAGGAGTTGTTAGTTTAAAGGTCGTTATGAGTGAAGCATACGACCATGTAGAGTGGGGCTTCCTCGAGGCTATAATGGTGAAGCTGGGTTTCGAAAGAAGATGGGTTGACATTATCATGGAGACAGTTCGGTCTGTGAAATACCATATCTTGTATGAGCAAAGTCAACTTGGCCCTATTATATCGGGACGTGGGCTGCGTCAAGGAGATCCCCTATCACCTTACCTGTGCCTGCTGATTGCCGAGGGTCTGAGTGTGATGATAGAGAAGTATATGAATTTGGGAAGGCTGCACAGAATTCGTGTGGCTCGGGGAGCACCGTCGATATCCATGGTTGCAGTAGGCGCTAGGTGCTATTCGGGCGCCTAGAGCCTAAGCGGAATCTAGGCGGCGCTAGGCGTGCGCCAAAAAAACAGTGGTAGACTTGCAGTTTGACAATTTTAATGAGGTTGTTTTCAACATTTAATCAAATAACACATCCAAATAAATGAATTAATGATAATTCATAAGTCATAACATCAAAACAATGGTTTTAAAAAAAAACATTAAAATAATATTAAAAATTAAAAAATACTCAAATACTTCAATCATCCAAAGATTCAAAGTATCAAACTAGTCTACGAGTGTATATATGTCATATTATATATATGTATGCGCGCGCGCACACACACACACACGCACACACACACACACAAACACACACACACACATATACATATATATATATATATATATATATATATATATATATATATATATATATATATATGTATATATAATAATAATAATAATAATAATAATAATAATAATAATAATAATAATAATAATAATAATAATAATAATAAAATAGGTCGAGCCGATCGGGTTAACTCGACCGAAATGGACGAGTTAACTTGACTAACTTAGACGCTAGGCGGCCAAATCGGCCGAGTTAGGCGCTAGGCGGACGCCTAGGCGACCGGTAACCTAGGCGGGCTCCTAGGGGGGAAATCACCACGGTTTAGAGGCGCCTAGCGCCTAGGCGGGGCCTAGGCGGGCGCCTTGACAGATTTTTACAACCCTGTCGATATCACACTTGCTCTTTGCGGACAATTGTTTTTTTGTTTTTACGGGCCAACAACCAGAAAACTGAGTGTATGAAGTATGTGCTGGACACCTACTCGGTCGGGACAGAGGATAAATTATGAGAAGTCTATGGTCTGCTATAGTGCTAATGTTACACAACCAGTGCGTAACACAGTCACTCAATCTCTTGGGGTGACCGAAGGCAATACAACTAGTAAGTATTTAGGGTTACCATCCCTTGTGGGGAAAAGGAAAAAG